AATGTATAGTTATTATAATTATACATTTCTTTTGTGTTTCATTAATATTTTATGAGTATTTAACCTTCGTTCCCTTTAAATAATTGAGTTCGTCCACATAGTAACCAGGATTGTCTGGTGGCCATTTTGAATTTGTCGATTCATAATTTTGACGTGATAGTCCAGATAAACTGTAGTAATACGACCCTATCATTAATCCCATTCGATAGATTTTAAAGAATTAGTAAACACTAGCATCTAATAGTTAAGTGCATCCATATTTTAAGTCCCTAGAATGTCCTGAATTAAATAGCTTCATGTCTAAACACCATGTGTACAAGCGTAGTACACACGCTAAAAACCGTGGACTAGTAGCGTTCAAATTTACATTAATAACGTGTACTAATTAAACCAAACTGACATTCAAACTTATAATTCATTGATTAAAATGGAAATGAAACTTTAAAAATGATACTTACAACTTGTTTGAAGTCTCTAGCAAGGGTAAAATCCGTTTAGCATCATCGGTCGTCAACCTTTAAAACCGTTCGGCGAGCTACTCACTCGGGGCTGAAAATTGACTCGAGGGTTATATGTTTATTGAGGGCACGGCTTCGCGACCGTAAATCAGAAATACAATATACAACACAAAGTAGTTATAAAAGTGAACTTTACATTGGTGTAAAATTTGAAACAGAATTAGTTTGTTTTCGTGTATATATCGTCATTTAAAGTTTAAAAACTGATTTTTTAAAATGAAATAAGCAAGTTATTTTTTCAATTTATACATCAAATGATAGACTAGAATTCGCTCTTTAAAATGACATTAAGATTATGCTTCTACGATGCTTCGTCACGAAGCCGCAACCAAATGAAACAGTGTGGTGTCGATTAGTACTCGCAAAACGGTGAAATTTGTTGACGTAACTGATACTTTTCAAACAAATATAAAACACATTCAAACATGTGTTACAGATATAAAAATACCAGATTACGACAAAGACTTAAACTTCATTGACATATAATTTTTATTCTTATAGGACAACTAGAAGTAGTGAAATTTTTTTTTTGAAAACCGCAATAAACTGACCCTAAAACGCACTTTTTCGCCAGTTTGAACTACCTACTAAAACATAGCAAGGTAGGAATAATGAAATCAATGTTAATGTCTGAAACTGGTTTTTCTTGGGGGTGAGGGGTTGGTCTGAGGTTACTTGTTAACTTTAAAAAAAAATGTAAGCCGACATTAAGCAGTAATGAAATGTAGCCTAGAGACTAGTTATATAAAACTAGAAGCCTACTAATGTCATTAGACTAATTTTTAAATTTACTTTTCAGTTAGTAAAGTAGCGTCCGTGGTCATGTTCCTCTTTTTCTTCAAATTCCTCTTTTTAGGCATGACTGATACTACTTTTGGCTGACATGGGTAGGCATGTCTGTATTTAGCCTAATTTATCTATTGGTATTTTAACCCATCCAAATCTACAGTTTCTCCCTGATTCTATTTTATTTCGCAATCTTCAATAACTAAAATACTTGCAAAGGTGACTATGATTACTAGACTAACCCACCCCTCCTTGTAGCAATGGTGGCTCTAGTGACCTCACGATGACCCCCAAGTACGTTTTGGTACTGCTTGTGGGGGATAAAAATAAAAATGGAGTCACAGTCAATTCCAAATAGCTGTTCTTGCAATACATATGCTATAGGCCTACAGATTTAAAAAACTGAACTCAACGTGACTCCGAACATGTCTTGTTTGTAGAAGAAATAATATGATACAGACTTTTTAAAATTAATTGTCATACTCGTAGGGGAGTGGGAGAGAGGGGAAATCCGTATTTTTGTTTTACCTGTGATGATGGGAAGAGGAGTCAGATGTGTTACATCATATTTTTGAATTTTAAAAAAGTTATGTTAGAAACTGAATACTACGCTTTTTACAAAACTGTTTTAAAAATTTTAATTGAAATAGATTAAAATACCCTATGTTGGTCGAGCTCAGTCAATATTTTAGAAAAAAAGCAGTGTTTAAAAAATAATTCAATTTTGAGAAGGGGGGATGGATGGATGGGGGGGGGGGGGGGGGAGCAGTTTTTGGCTGAGGAGGAGTATGTCTTTTGTGACGAGCGGAGATGGGAGGTAAACTTCGTCAAAAAAACATCCTTTATTGATGACCCCTAACAATTTACAGCTATTCCATTAAAATAATGATGTGGTTTAGCTATCAAAATGGTCAACTTTGATTATCAACATGGTTAACTTTGATTCACATATTGGACCCTTTCTAATGTCAGCTAATCTGGTCGATTTCATTTTCCATCACATGAACCTAATACTTTCAAATTACAATTAATCTAAATCTAGGCTCTTTACAGTTGTAGACAAAAAATTTTATGGTGCCTATCTTTAAAAGAGTAGGAGGCATAATTAAAATTAAAAAGCAACTAGAATAGATCAGTACAGTTTAAATAAGCTCAATGTTAAACTTACTTGCCACTTTTGTTATATTTTTTTTTAAAGGTGGTTTATAACATTAAATTTCAATTAGACAAGATTTTCAATGTTATTTTAAAGATTATAAACTTCTTTTATTTAAAATATTAGCTTCATTAAACAATAAGTTAGTACAGTTACAGCATGAGACTGCTTTAACTGTGATAAAAAACATATAAAACAGAGTTCTTGTCCGAAGAAAATTTTCCAATTTTTTTCCTGGTCTTGTCACATCCCTGCAAATATACATTTTTTAAAAACCCTATGAAGTATACTATAGGTCAACTGTAAGCTTAAGTGAACTCAAACTGACCCCACCACTGTGTCTTGCTGAAAGAAAAAAAAGGTTACTTATAAAAATGGCTGTTAGGTTCAAATGTTTTGTATTTTCAAGTATTATTTCCAAAATGCCTTTTTTTTTAAGTAGGCATTAATTCAGGTACTCAGGTTAATCTACTTGTCCATCATATGATAAAAAATTAAAATTACAGTTAGGCTATTTTACTGTTGAAGGCTTCTTATTTATCATGATACTAAGTCTATCTTTACAAGATAGAGACTTGGTTTCAGCACTTTCTGGTTTTTATGATTGACATTATTAGGGAGGAGGCAATGTGGAGAGGTGTTAAGTCACTTGACACTGGCATATAGCTATGATTAACATTGTTTGGAAGGAAGCTGACATTGGTGAGGTTTAGAGGGGTGTGTAAAGTCACTTGATATAGCTATGATTCCTTGGCCCAATTTGTTTCTCAGAAGCAAAGACCTAAATTAATTTATGATTTATTTCAGTAATCATTGACTTCAGAGATGTTACTTTTTCGCTCTTTCCCAGAAATCTGTTATTTCCAGTAATTTTCCTGGGAAAAATATAAGAAATTTTCAGCAGAAAAAAATTAAAAAATTTCCCCTGACCTACTTTATTAAAAAACATTGCGAATCTTTTCCACAGATCCCGATTTTTTAGTTTTTCAGAAATAAATAGGCTAATTTATTTGGTCTATTTTACTAAATGAGCATGTGTCAGGTTAAAAGTTGGTAACGTAAGTTTATAAATAAAAAATTTCCACGACGTCAGTATTTTCCTACTAAAAAAAAGGCTCTTCTTTGGTGATTTTACTCCATTTTTCCTGTTTGATTATGATAAGTCAGTTACTAGATTTGCCTCCTTTGAGGGAGGGAAAAGGCGATTGTTAATGTTAGCCTACAATGTGTAACTTACTTATTCTGATTGTGAGAATTTGTTATGAGTGAACGCGCATGGACACTACCACTTGATTTTACCCTCTACTTTTCACATAATTAGTCAGATGTTGCATGAAAAAAAAATGTTATTGTGGAGAGGGCGTGAGTGGCTGTGGACCAAACTTATCATGAAAACACTAAATATTTACGTTTTTTAGCCTAATTGTGTGCAGTAAACCTACGAGGCCCTTTAAATTAAATTTAAAATAATTGCAGTATGATTTCCGATTTTTGGTATTCTAGTTGATTTAAAAATGCTTTTACTTTCATTATTTAATCTTAAACAAATAATTTTAGGCCAACTAATTTATTGATACTATTTTTTCTATTAGAATTCGACATCTACTAACATTTTAACAATTACTGAATTTTTAAGAAGTTATTGGAAAATGGAGGGAATTCAAGGCCCTCACTGAGCTTGTTAATTCGCAACTCTAAAATAAATATAAGTTTTGCTTGACCCTAAAGATTATAGACAATGTTTTAAAATCTCTTGTAAAATGTTAGGTACCTAATTAAATATTCACTTACCTTGTATTTAAGCACACTACTCCCAGGTAAAATAAGAAACAAAATAAAATGCAATTTGGTATCGGAAACCACTTGTCGTTGTGGTAAAGACAGCACAGTCTAACATGCTGTCCAGGTGTGCTTTTTGAGAGACTAAATTAATAAGGCCTTAAAAGCAAGATGTCAACCGGAAACCAGGACTTGGAGGATCAAAGTGATTACCATGGCAACATAACATGCTAAAGACAATCAGTCCTTTTATAATTTAGCTGCTGCCAATTATCCGGGCCTTATTATTTTCAAACATATGTTTCTTCCATTACAAAATGGTCTTGAAACGTTTTAAAACCCTAGAAATATTGTGTATTGGTTGGTAATAATTTCTTCTAATTTTCTCAAGTTCGACGGTGGCCTATACATTCTTTTATTAAGATTTAGCAGCTCATTAAAAAAATATACCCCAAACCACCCCTCACACGCTTTCCTTGTTAAACCAACTATGTATCTAAGATGCTTATTCAGATTGTTTTAGTTCTACCTACACTTTCAGTATTTAATTTTTACTTGGTTAGTTAATTTCATACTTTAAGGTAAAAAATTAGTTTTTAGGTTTGACACTAATGTGAATGTGTTTGTAGCATATAACACTGATAATTTATTAGCATGCAATACCAATGTATAATCTTTATGATTCAGAAAAAAAAAAAATGAACTAAAATTGTTGCCTTCTGCAGTTTCTATCTGTAAACAATTGTCTTGTGTAATTACAGAGAAATAGAGAAAAGGTGGATTCTGATCTGATTAAAGCAACTTGTGATTATGTACGGAACCTTCCAGCTGTTGATAACCTTGATGTTGTTGGGGGAGATGTATTCAAGTAAGTTTTAACTTTTTATGGTCAAACTTCGGTAAATTTTAGCCTTGTCAAAAATAATCATTTAACCTTATCATATGTTGTAATTGATCAGCCTTTGGTTATGCTAAGGATAAAACCATTAAAATATATAGTTCACCATTAATGAATTAGTCTATTATGGTATTATAAAATAGTTTAGTTGATCTTCATTATTGCTTAACCATTTTCTGGCCTGGGCATCAAAACTATTTTACTTCCCCTACGGCAGGTGAAAAGACAACCCATTTTTTCAATAAAGCCTGAGCAGAGGGATTGTAATTAGATTTAATTACACTAATTATATTTGCCAGAATTTTTGAGGAAAAAAATTCTTAACTCAGATAAATTGTAGAAAATGGACCACTAATAATAGAACAATAAAAAAAACAACTGAAATAAAACTTATTTTTTCCCATTTCCGTCCGTATCTTCCATATCCCCTTACCAATGAGACACTACTATATAAAAATAAACCTACTATGCCTTGTAGGGCGACTGCTGGTGCTTGGGACTGTACCACTCCCAAAAAATTTCAGGCGACCGCAGGCTCATATGCCTATAAAGCAGGGGTCTCCAAACTACGGCCCGCGGGCCGCGATGTCCTCTCATCGGGCCCGCGGAGATCTTTTTGTCCACGGAAAAAACGTTTGTTGGTAATGGCTGAGGAACTTTGCCCAGAAAATCAAAGACATGCCTGGAAGAAACTGGCCCCCGAACTGAAAATTGATAGTTAATGCGGCCCTCGGACTGAAAAGTTTGGAGACCCCTGCTATAAAGGATTAAGGAGACTTAAGGGACCAAAAGTGCATATTCATCAGGATAGATTACTCTGGAATTGTTTTGCATTGGGAAACATTATCTTATTGTATAATATGTAATTGTCTGCCTTTTATTACATATACTAGCCATCGGTACCCGTTTCACGTGAATTATAGGCCTATATAATTAAAAATGTACTTGTTTGAGAAAAATAATTTATGAAATAGTTATTGGTCAAAACGCAATGTGCTTTACTACACGCTTAACGATATTAGTGACAAAGCAAAAATAATAACTAATTAGCTAAAAATCCGACACATTTAACATATACAGGCACACACTGATTAAATGACTTAAATGATTCCATTAAAAATCTGGCAATTCAATAGTCATTACGTTGTTTTTAAGTAATTTGTATTAGGTAGACAGAAAAAATTGTATATATTTCATAGCGTACATATTGATGAGTAGATCTATAGATCTAGATCTAAAACAAATTAGAATGAAGTAGGTCCTTTCTTTAGGGTCTTGGGAGATTGCAAGACGCGAAAAGCGAAATGGCGAGGCGGGAAATTGCGAGAAGATAATGCGAGACATACCTGCGGAATTAAGGGGGGACAGTCATGAAATTTATTGAAATACCATTTTTTGCACAATTTAACTATTTTACAGAAAATAACTCATTTATGGCATTAGTATATATGTTTAATACACTTAGTGTAAAAAAATTTTCATGGTAATCGTTAGCCGATTAAATTTGGCGGGAAAAATGTACATTTTTTACATACAATTTTTAAAAAACTTTTCCTCAGTAACTATCTATAATTTCAAGTCCAACTTTTGGATTTAGATAGTCCACATGCATGTGACAAAATCCATAGAAGAAAATTTACATATTTGCAGAAACTTTTTTAATTATGAATATTCTACTAATGACTAGTTAATTTTAACCTATAAGGTTTGCAAAAAATTTTGTATAAAAAAAAGTAATGAAGATAGCTCAATTATTCTTCTGCTTGTTTTTCAACAGTGTGTTATGTAGCTTCAGCAGAAATTTCATGTAAATTGAACAAGTAGTTTTTGAGGAAAATGTTTTTGAGTGTTCAAAAATGTAAAAAAAATACGTTATTGAGAAAACGCTAAAAACATAACAAAAATGGAAAAAAATGCTTTTTTCATTGAAAATACAATGTAAAGAGCTATTTTAAAAGCTTTATCAACATGTTTATGATGATAATTTCATCATTAGTAGTAAATTAAGTAAAAACTGATTTTGTAAAAATGTTTTGAAAAAGACTACATATATTGATGAAAATATAAAATTTAAATTAAAAAAAAAAAAAAGTTTTTACACTAATAAAACTAACTTAGCTTAAAACAAATAACAATTTAGAAGGCTCCAGAACTGTATGAAGGCCCTCCCTCCAGCTTCTCAAACTCCTGTTGGGCTTTTGAGCTGGCGAGATCATTCTGGACCTTCTCCTTTTGACTTCCACTGGCGCCTTTCGTTCAGCACTGTTAAACCTCCTCTCGTCATGCCTTGCTGCTTTGACTTGAGAAGAAGTGGCATAGGAACAGCCAATGGCATCCATAAAAGCAGCCAGATGTTTACTGCCACCATTAAACTCACTGACTGATCTCAACGCCATAAGATTTGCGCACCAGGTCAATAGTAGTGTCAAGACTGGCGTTGGAGAAATTTTTTGAAGAAATTGATATTTTGTTCAGGATATTGCGGTATGATGACTCTGTCATTCCTTCAATGGCCATGGCATTGCAAAACTTATCCACAGCAGCATAGCCTAATCCTATGTTGAGGAAAGCAGCGACAAATTTCTTGTTGATATCATAACACCTGTCGCTGCTACTCATATTGGAGCTTGATCCTGCTGCTATGGAGTTGCACACTGCAGTTGACTTGCAGTTGATGTGCTAGACCCTTGCGTCCAGTCAAAATAAGTTGCAAGGGCCCTTGACATGTACTGCACTGAGCTGCCGAAAAGAGGGCGTTTACTTCAGCCAGGTCTACAATGACCAGCCCTCCAACTGTAGTAGCTTGAGGTGCTTCACATTGAGAAAACATGCTAAGTTTTCTCTTGGAGGCACTGACCACTGTGGGGATGGTTGTATATCCAGTAGTAGGAGTAGTGGCAGCAGTGGGTGTAGTGGCAGCAGTGGATGCAGTGGCAGCAGATGATGCAGTGGCAGCAGTGGGTGAAGTGGCAGCAGTGGGTGAAGTGGCAGCAGTTGATGCAGTGGCAGCAGTTGATGCAGTGGCAGCAGTTGATGCAGTGGCAGCAGTGGGTGAAGTGGCAGCAGTGGGTGAAGTGGCAGCAGTGGATGCAGTGGCAGCAGTGGGTGAAGTGGCAGCAGTGGATGCAGTGGCAGCAGATGATGCAGTGGCAGCAGTGGATGCAGTGGCAGCAGTGGGTGAAGTGGCAGCAGTGGGTGAAGTGGCAGCAGTGGGTGAAGTGGCAGCAGTAGATGAAGTGGCAGCAGTGGGTGAAGTGGCAGCAATTGATGCAGTGGCAGCAGTGGGTGAAGTGGCAGCAATTGATGCAGTGGCAGCAGTTGATGTAGTGGCAGCAGTAGTTGTGCTTGAACCAGCAGCCTCTGGATCTTCAGTAGATCCTGCAAGAGCTGATTTTTTGCTGCTTGGTAGCACAAGCCTTAGCCAATGTAATAAAGTTACTGGATCTACATCAAAATCTACGTAAAATCTGGCATCTAAGATAAAACTATAGTTTATACTTTGATAAAGGAATAGAAATAATTGAAAAATTCATAATTTACCTTCAAATAAATTCCAGAAACGAAAAATAATTCAAAAAGTGAAAAGTGAAAGTTGTTGCAAATATATCTACAGCTCGGCTAAAAATAGCATCTCCTAGGAGACCGCCGACACTTCCTGACAAAAGTTAGACAAATTGAGCTTGGCGCACGGTATTTTTAGACAGAAGCGTCATGTGACATCTATTGACCAATAGATACATGACTCTTCCCATTTTGAAGCACACTTTCATTGCGTGTTTTGAAATACTATATTTAGAACTAGGTCAATGTTCTTAGGCTAGCTAGACTGACCTCGAAATTCCGCGCATTTTGATATATGGTAAGCTAGGCTTACTGCGGTGTGTAGATCTCGCTACACATCGTTGTGATGGGCGTATATCGGGGTGAAATAAATTTTTTTACACACACACACGCACTTCAAATGCAAAAACAAGTGTAAAAACTATATTTTATTGTAAATTTGATAAGTATATTATGTTTATAAGTGGTTGAAGTAATAGAAAAAAAAAAAAAAAAATGAATTTTCCGAGGTCGACCATGATTTTTCAAGCTTAGTTCATCGATGCGCCCCCTTAAGGGTAAATAGCGAGACACTTTTTGCGAAAAAAAAGTTTTTTTCATGCTTTTTTCATCTTTATTTATATAATTATTTTAAATTTTTTTGTTTTTGTTTTAAAATAAACAAGAATTGAGCCATACCCTATAACGCGAGTGTTGTATGTTGTTATTTTTTATCTAGATTTTATTATATAGATAGATAGATACTAAGAAGATAGATAGATCTATATCTAGATCTTTTTAAAAATCCTAACATCGTTGCTGTGCTACTGTCATCGCCAGCTCTCGTTAGCGAGAAGAAAATCCCGTCTCAGGCGGCATTAATTTTAAAAATCTAGCCCGCTCATGTTTATACAAACATGAGCTGTGTCATTGTAAATTGGTATAATCTTGTCAGCAGGAGAGATATTCTGCAACATCTATTTATGGATTTTTGTTCTTGCAAAAAGTGTAAAAGTATAAAAAATTCTAAAAAGTGCAATTTATCTTATTAAGTAACTAGTATACCCGTCCCCCGCGCGTTGCCGCGGGGATAGAAGAAAGTCTGACGAAATATATTAGAAGGATATCACCAATGCATTACCAATCATATGACCTTGTTTTCTAAAACTGTTATTTAAATGTAAACAATGCCTGTGCTTGGATAATAATTATCGGGACACAGGTTTTCCTACACTACCGCATGAAAACCTTGAGTGTACATTAATCACTCACCGAAATAATGAGGTAGAACACACTTCGGTGACCACCCATGTGTCAGGGACGTAGAGGGGCGCTCTCCGGAGCCCCCCCCACCCCCCGATTACACTACCGCATAGGCGCAGCGTACGGCCCCTGGCTCCTTAAAACTAACAGGTGCCATCGTGCTCATA